AGAAAAAGCATTCTTTAACGGCAATTACTAAAATAAGAGTTTTTGAATATAAGTGATGGGTGTATAAATGCCTTAAAACTTGAGTGACTACAGGAGAAGTTTACCCCATATATTTAAAAAGGGTGGATTTGGCTTTATATTAAGCCTGTGGTTAATCCATAATTTGCCATTGGCTGGCTGGATGCTTGTGCCAAAGGCCACCACTGCAAAAAACAATTCGATTTTATTATACCAACTCCATATATACACATACCAAATTCTGCCTTCTAGACATCCCAAGAAGCACCTGAAATTAATTGGTTAAGATTTCATTATTTGTAGCTCTGTTTTGAAAATCGGACCGGATTGGCCGGTTCAACTGATTTAATCGGGAATCGTTACTTAGTCTGGTTTAATTTAAATCGGTTGAATCGTTATTAGTGAACCGATCAGAACCGTTGAATCGTTCGAACCGGACCGGCTGAAAACCGAGAAAATGGGATTTTTGTTTTTTAAAAAAAATTAAACCAAACAACGTCGTTTGTTAAACGAGCCAAGTCGAACTCGAGTATTGCTGAGCTCGACTCGAACTTGAAAACTTTAAAAGTAAGCTCAACTCAACTCAAACTCACAAGCTAAAAATTATCAAGTTCAACTCAAACTCGAAATATAATATTGAAACTTGAACTCAAAAAGGCTTGAACTCAAAAAAAATTAGAATCTCGATTGAAGCCTAAAATTAGAGCTTGATTGAAGTGAAAGAATAGTTATATAATTATAGTTATATAATTTTGTTATGATTTTTTTAATCCCAAATTTATTTTTTAATTATAGTTATATAATTATAATTTATTATTTAATATGTTTTACCTTAAATATTATGTTGTAGTTAATTTAAATCATTTTGTTTTACTTGATTTTATGGTTTTTAACTTATATATGTTATGACTTGCTTTAAATATGACTTTTGATATAAAAAATTATTTTTTATTAAATATTTCTGGTATTTTTATTTAATTTTTTAAATAATTATGACGTCGTCCGGTTCTTTCAATCGGTCGAACCGTTTCGACCAATTAAACCAATGAACCGATAGCATGACCGATTCGCTAACCGGTCCGATTCTGAAAACCATAATTTGTTGTCAATCAAATTACTCTTATGTTGAATATATATATATATATTATTTGCAATATAATTTGTGGAGGCTTGTGGAAGACGATGACACGTGGTATGGCGTGGAGAGATAAGATGGTGTGATTTGGGTTCCCACATCGAGAAGTCAGACAATGCATTTGGAAAATTCTAAAATATAACCGTTAATACAATCTTAAAAAATAGCATAATTAGATTTAATTGAAAATATTATTAAAAGTATAATTCTTTAGAATAGGTCAATAATATTTTTAGTTACAATTAAAAATATTATTTTTTATAATATTTTTGGTCGTAAATTTTAAACCCCTCGTAATATAATTCTTTGTTTTAATCGAAAATATTATAAATTTATATAATTTTTTAGGTTGAACGAAATAATATATAAATTCTAAACTCTTGTACATTTGATAGATTACACGACCCTTTGTTTTTCATCAGAGTTCAGACCACTAAACCTCTTCTAAACTGAAATTTATATTGTTTTAAGTTAGGTTCAATGGTACGTGAAGTCCTCGATTTTTTTTTTAAATTAATATAATTCTTGAATTATTTTTACACTCAAAACTTTTAAAAAAAACCACTCTCTTCTCCTCTATTGATAAACTAGAAACATTAAAGCATATATATTGGAGCACTAAAACGGAATTGCCCTTTTTTCTATGATGTCATTTGTACTAATTAAACAAAGAGTAAGCAAGTGGGTGGAAGATTGGCCATTGGGTGATTACATTAACGTTTGGCTTCTTCCTAACCCGCAACTAATAGCACATTGGATTGCGAGAACACAACTATTTTATTTATTATATTGTGAAATTTGTTTTTATAAGAATAATATTATATATTATCATCAATGTTATATTGTTTTATTTGATAGGAATACAAATAATAATTTACATAGAATCCTCAACGCGATAGATTATTATTTTTACCTTGAATCTGTTTACGAAGAATCTCTATAAATTAATACTTGATAAATGGATAATTTCTCTAAAATAATAATTTTTCTCGGTCCCGACTTAGTCTCAAGGTCTAAATTAATAAATTTTTTAATTAATAAGATATTAACTTTCTAGAAGATCCTTATATAAAATTATAATCTATTCGATACTATAAATTAATAATTCTATAAAATTAAAAACATAACTTAGTAAAATATAATTTTATTATTGTTTAATTCTCCTTAAAATCTAATCTAGTTGTACTTCAACTCTAACTTTTTTTACTGCATCCAAAAATTTTGGTGTTGTGTTCTCATACTACAACAAAATATTATGAAGAGTTGTTGATGTTATGAGTGATTATTTCCACGTAATTGGTTGCAAAGTTATTGTATCATCTTCCGCTTTGGTTATAAAGCTACTCAATAAATTCATGTCATGAATAATATTGTAAGTTCGTTGAATCTGGAAAATCTCTTTAAATTACTAAATTATTAATTTATCGATTAATTAATACCTCTTTAAATTAATAAAATTATGTGATCCCGATATTATTAATTTATATATGTTTCCACTAATAATTTTAAAATAGAAATGGTGATAAAAGCGTTAATGCAGTATTTTTTTATTAAAAACATTTTATTAAATATAATGGTAACTAATTAGTTTGTGGTTTAGGGTTTAAAGAGACACATCATATCTCGTACGATCCAATATGTTGTCTAAGCTGTCACATTAAACATTAATTAAATCCTTAATGCCTTCAAATCTTTGCCTTAAAAATGTTTAAAGACTTTTTCTTTTTCTTTACGTTTAGCGTCGCTTGTCTTCTTCGCTATCTTGAGTGGTCGGTAGTTAAACTCTACCCAACTAAGTATATATTTTCTATTCGATTTAAATTCGGTTTGAAAAATATACACCTTTCACCGATTTGAACTTTATCTGTATTTTGGAGATCAAAATCCGAACTCAACCTTATTTGATCTGAAATAATACATTTATAAAAAATTATTTTATTCTATAAAAAATAGATTTAACTTTAAAAACAATACATAAAGGAGTATTATTGCAATTATCTCTAAATATATAAGATAAAATTATATTTTTTTCAAATCGGGTCAAGTCGAATATTTTCACCCTAAACCTGATCCGACCCAAACACAACCTCTAAAAAACCCGACCCGACTCAACCTGATTAAAAAAAAAGTTTGACCCATTAGGGTAGCGTCAGGTTGGAATCCTTCGGATGTAGGTCCAATACCCATCTCTAATAACATCATTAGTTTTGGTATTGATCGTCTATAGTGAGTATTCATTGTTTTTTTTATATATATATTTTGTATAATTGGTTTTCTCTTTTTTTTAGTTTATAATAACTCTGTATTTATAATAGATTTTAATATTTTTTGTCGATTATTGATTGATCATATAATTTAATTTGTTTATAATTAAATTTGACATTATATCAGAAATATTTCAAGTGAGCCCTAAACATTTTCTTTTATTATTAAAATGTATCTACCAGCTTAGTTTGCTCGTTTTGAATCTTGTTTTTTAGTATATTTGTATTGTACCAGATTGTGTTTTGACTTAATTTCAATTATGAATAGGATTTTTCACAAGATTATCATTTTTTTACAAATCATTTTACAAATATATTATTTAAGTAGCACTACTTAAATTACTTTAAAGGTTAAAAATATGATTGTTATATCTTCTCTTTTTAACATCAAACATATTCATATTTTACACTAAAACACTCCCTTCACTTCTAAATATCTTCTTCCCTTTCAACTCCCGTTCTCTTGGATTGTTTTCTTCTTCCCAAGTCTTATCTCTTACAAAGTAAACCCATGCAACTGTTGTATGCATGAAATCCAAGTGATTTCAATAAATGGGTGTTTATTAAACTTTGCTAATTTCCTCAGTTTATCTTTGAAGCTCAAACAATGGATTTGATCATGTAAAGCTTGTGTCTTTATAAAAATGAAATCCTATCTTTTACTACTTTGACTTGTTTTAAGATTAAGGATTAGATGATGTAAAAGTACTACCTTTTTCAGTGAGCAGGAAATATCAAGCATAAAAATGTTTTAACTTGTCTACGAGAGGCTAATCATTTTATCTAAAGAAATCTTATTTAGTTGTTCTTTTGCAGGTAACACAGATCTGTTTAGAGCTGAAACTTTCTTTCATATGAAGCAGAGGAAGAAATGAAATCAAAACATACCTTTTTTTCCTGATATTTTATTTATTGTTCTAAGCAGTCGACACTTGTAAACAACTTATACATTGTTCCGAAGTGAGCACAAAAAAGATATCTTTTTGTTGGTAATTCCTGAAACAGTTCATTTATTAATGGGGTTGTTTGTCATGTACTACTCTTTCAATTAAGCTAAATTAGTAATGGTGGTGTGTGGTGTGTGCCATTTTCAGGGTCAGCTTAAAGAAAACAGCTTTAAATAAGATAGAAGAAAAGGGTTGGTTTTGGTTTTCAGATCGGCACCAAATTATACACTGCAATCAGTACTTTTTTTTTTTTGCTTTAAGCTTAATTGTGAAGCTGAAGAAGAAGAAGGGCTTTTCTTGTCAGATTCAAGGGTTTATATTAGCTGCTGCAAGCAATTTACATTGCCAGTTTTCTGTGAGTATTTTTTTGAGCTTTCCTTTGAGTACATATGAACAACATAATCATTTATAGCAGTAAAGTATGATCTTTGTGAGTACTACAAATTTTAATGAAAATTTGTCAAAATGCAAATGTTTGAAAGTTTTGAACTTTGAAAGCATCATCTTTGCAGGGTGTGGCTGCCATTTTTCCTGCTGCTGCAGAAAAAGAAGATTAAAGGAAGGGGGGGGGGAGAGGGAGAGAGAGAGAGAGAGAGAGAGAGAGAGGGGAGAGAGAGAGAGAAAGAGATAGTGATATATCAAAGGCCTTTTATCACACTACATAAACCAAAGTACCCTCTTTTGTGTGTCATAGTCATCATCAATGCATACAACATCTCAACCCCACCATTTCTTCTTCTTCTCTCATTTCACCATTTCAATTTCTTTCTCTTTCTAACATTTCTTCAAGAAGAAGAAGAAAAAAACCTAGATTTTTCCTTCCTTTTGTAAGCGAGAAAAAAAGGGTTTGTGAGATAAGGAATGAACTTGGTATGGAGGTGGATGGGATTCAGACACAGGCCTGTAAGTTCTCAAAAGTTGGCAATAATGGAAGATGAGTCAAACAAGATTGATGATGAGGAAGATGGATACATCATCAAAAAGGCTGCCGCAAACGGTGGTGGCGGTGTGGTACCTTACAGAGGTGGTACTAGTTCACTTAAAGGTTGGAGCAACTTTTCGAGAATTATTAGGGTTTCTCGAGCCTCCGGCGGCAAAGATCGACACAGCAAGGTGTTGACTTCGAAAGGGTTGAGGGACAGGCGAGTAAGATTGTCTGTTACTACAGCTATACAGTTTTATGATTTACAAGATCGATTGGGTTATGATCAGCCTAGTAAAGCTGTGGAGTGGCTGATTAAAGCGGCCTCCGATGCGATTTCCGAGCTACCTTCACTCACCGCTTCGTTCCCTGACACACCGAAGCAATTTAGTGATGAGAAGCAAGCTAGTGAGGATGTTGCGCTAGTCGAGTTAGATGGTGATCCTAGTAGCACGTCGGAGACTAGCAAGAACTCGGCTTTGTCGTTTTCGAGGCCGGGGGTCAGCGCGAACCACGTCAAGACTCGGGGACTAGCTAAGGGAAGAGCCTTGAAAGAAAAGGAGGCTCATCGACAACAAAGCACGAACCCCATTTCTCAAAACTCCACCTTTACTGAATTACTCACCAGTGAAATTGGCAATGTCAGCAACAACAACAACACCAGTCCTACTTCAGCTTCAGTTTCAGCGCATCAAAACCCCAATGCTACTGACAGGCTTTGGCCTGTGACTCAAATGGATTACTTTGGCTCGGGATTCCTTGGACCATCTTCTTCAAGAGGAAGTCATCATCATTCTTCAGATTTTCCAGCACAAATCCAACTGGTAAACTCTTTGCAACAACCAATTCCAACACCACCATTCACCGTGTCGAGCGAAAACCATCAAGCGATGCAGCATTTCTCGTTTGTTCCGAACCCTGATCATTTGATCCCGGTGGAAACAACAACAGCCCATCCGGGGCAAGGGGTTGACTACAATCTCAATTTCACAAGCTCTTCTTCCGGCATTGCTGGTTTCAATAGGAGGACCCTTCAGTCCAATTCTCCTTTTTCTCCTCGTCACTTCCAGAGGTTTTCTTCTATAGATGGATCATCACAACCCTTATACATTGGTGCACCACCAGTGGACAGTCATCATCAATTCCCAGCTGGATTAGATGACCGCTTGCAGCTCTGCTACGGGGATGGAACAAGGAACTCAGATCAGAAAGGAAAAGAAAAGAACTAGTCAGTGTCCTTATAAAAAGGTTCCCACTTTGGACCCCTATCTTTTTCCCTGGTAAGTTGAACATCCCTCATTCAACACAGTAACACTTGTAGTTCTTTACATTCAAAGATATCCACTTTGCCTTAATTTTCTTAATTGAAGTTCATATCTTTTTTTTTCCTGCCTGGTTAAGGGTTTTGAGTTAACTTTTTACATTTTTAATGGCTAGCCTTTTGGGTTTATGTGTTGTGCCTGTGCATAGCATGGTACCATGAATCACTCACTTTCTTGGTATTCATGAAGTCTTCCATTGGGGCAATATATATATAAATATGTGGGTTTCAAGTATTATAATGTCTTTTCATGATTCCTTCATGGATTGCTGTAAGTAAGAACCGGCTGGTTGTCTTCATGTTTGTTCTCTTCCTGGTTCCCTCCCCCCTAACATATGTGAACCCATGCCAGGTGTTAGTTTCTTGGTGGCCAAGCATTCCTGGGCACTGAATAGAACAATTAAAGTCTACTTTTGAAACATGGTTTTACTTTGGTTTATTAGCTTTAGAATTCAATTTACTTTTGCCTCGAAACTGAACATTTGGCAGATCAGTTGGTTCTCAGATTCCTGAGTTGTTAATTAAGGGTAAATTAATCTTGGGGGGAAAAAATGAAAACCTAATGCGCGTAAGACCTCGAGCTCTAAAACTTCAACACACATGGCTGCTCCCAAGGTAAATGTTTCTCTTCGCCTAGAAAAGAGTAAGAACTTAAATTGTTCATTAATGTAAGTTTGTTGTATTTAAAAATTAACTATTTTTACTGATACGTTCAATCATTAAATTGATAGAAGTTCATGATTCATTGTCTAAAATATAACAATCGATAACATATAATTAATCAAAACTTAATAAATTGATAAAGTAAGTAATTGAACTGTATTTTTTTTAAATTTGATGAACAAAATTATATAAATATAAAAGGAAAGTGATTTATCTAATAACTTACCAAGTCTTAAATACCAGTGTATCTGGATAAAAATGATACATAATAATTCTTTGTAAGATCTAACATCAAAATTAATATTAACAATGATCAAAACTATTAATGGTAGAAATCACTTGTCAAATTTTCCTTTTAGGTCACTTAAATAATAAATGAGAAAACATAAGACAACTATCATAGAATGTACTAATCTTACCTAGTAAAGAAATTTGTAGTTTAAGAATTGTAAAAGAAATTGTAACTCATCAAGAATAAAGTTAGATGTGTTTTATCATTACACTAATGAATAGTTGACAACAATATTATTACACTAATAATATTCGGATTTAAATTCGAGATTTGATGTCATTTATCATTACACTAATGAATAGTTGAATATAATGTTATTTTTTGAGTTGTTCTCTTCAAGTTTTCCTTTTTTAAATATTTATTCAGTCCTATAACAATAACCCTTTATTCTGATGAATTCCTTAAATTGATCACACAATATCTTTCAAGAAAAAAAGTTACTTCTTTTGAGAACACACTACTCAATTCTGAAATGTGTCTTTATAAAGGTAACTGAAGTGTGCTAGCTAGGGTTATTTCTCTTATATGTTTGAAGGTATAAAAGATGTAATATCTTGAGATTATAGATTCAGCTTATGCCTCATCTTGTTGATGTTTTAGATGTTGACAGTCTCTTGATTTGACCATTATTTTATAAGGAAAAAAGAAAAGAAGTTAATATTTCTACTTAAAAAAAAATAGTCTGAGATGATTATAAGATAATATTTATTCAAAATATTTCTTAATTATTAACGACACACATACTTTGTGGACGCATCTACTTAAATCCGAGTTCTCTAAGGAGAACAATATTTTCTTTACCACCTACGCCACTCAATAGGTTGATTGGGTTCTATACATCTACTAGTAAATGTTAAGAGCACGAAACTTAGTTCGAGTAAATTTCTTGGTACACAAATTTACTTCGTAATTAAGTCATTATCCCTATAAATAAATACTATGGATTAAAGTTAGAAGTAAGTCGATCGAGCCTTAAATCTGCGCATAACCACATTTTCTCTTGAATTCTTTCTTTCGATAGTAAAATTTCTTCCCTTTAAGGTTTTACATGTAAAATTTTGGCGTCTTTTCTTTTATTTTACAGTCGGTTCTAATATCTCGGTACAATATAACACTAGCTGAAGTCACTCTTAGAGTAGATGGAGTTACACCCATTGTGTTATCAAATTAAGCTAGATATTCGAGAAGTCTCATTAGCCAAATAATAACCATTGCTTCTCTAATAACTGGAGTATATATCAACCCTTAGTAAATGCACGGTGAGAAAAGCAATTGAACAAGAAGAGCATAATTATCTTGCAATGGGAGTCCAAAATTTCTTTCAAGAGTGATGCAACAGTAGAACCAGAGAGAATCCAAGTTGAAGCTCATCATGCTAAGTTTCTGGATGCAGGAAGAAAGCCAAGATAGAGAAAACTGCAGAGGGAAGCCATGAGCGTGAGTGGCATGCATTTTCCATCCCATGCATTTGGTGATTGATATATTCCCTTTATTATTGTGATTCTGATATATTATTGGTATTTCTGGTTTAATCCTTTTTGATGTCCATCATCTGTGTGTTTCCAACATGTATCACAGATAACAATTCCATTGAACTCTCTTTTTCTCCCTGAAAATTGTTTATCCGGCTGATGATGAATGGCATATAAGTTTTTGGACGGTACGATTAAATTATGTTTTGATCCTTGATTGTGCTCAAGTCTAAGATTTCATCAAAAAAAGGTTTATGGGATAGAAGTTTCATTTTCACATGAGCTTTGTACTGAATAGGACCCCCATCAATTACAGTCCATTGATATTTCACGTGAGTCAACTCAGTGACCCGACCACTGCAATTCCATTGGCCATAAATGAACTCAACACTTGTTTCAACAACCAAACTCAATTCCATTACTTGTACAATTAGCTAATAAAGACAGCTTACGTTTGGTTGGTTCACAAAAAGGAAATTTATTACAAACGTCATTTCCTTTTGAAGAAATTTTTTAGTTTCATTTGAAGAGACAACTAATACTTAATTGTCTGAGTTTGACTAATACTTAATTGTCTGCGTTTGAATCCGAGACTTGATGAATCCGAACAACTCGAGTCACTTCTTACTATATTAGCTGCTTAATCGACAAACGAAAGCGACATCATTAGAATTATTTATGATATTGAAATTTTTTTAATGGATCGGAAAGAGGACAAAGTCAAAGAATTGATTTGCATTTCAGCATTAGCAACCTGTTTTGTCAGATGTCACCATTCTTTAAAGGCAAAGCAATAATAGCTGTCAGTCTGGTTTATGAACAATGCTTTAAATTCCTTTGAAAATAAGAAAAGTGGCATTTATGACTTTTTGTACACTTACTCCACATCTTCACGAACTGTGCGACTTTCTTTGCATGTAAAATTAGGCATGCTAAGATACCAAAATGAGCGTGAGCATGAAAGAAGGGAAAAAAAAAGGTGAAATCATGCCTGCCACTTTATAAAAACAATAATAAGAACCCGAATTTGCGCTTAACAAAGTTGACTCATACAATCATTCTTAACAAGTGATATATCCATCGAATTCTGAATTCGAATTTACAAGGATAAGACAATAAGTATCAATGAATCTTTGATGGGAGTATAGTAAGCTTATCGAATAAACATTCAAGGATAGGTGCAAACTAAAATTCTTGATTAACTTTCAAGTATATGTAACATAAAGCATGACATCTTCATACCTACAATATTCACATATGTAGAGGGATTATTGATAAAAAGTCGAGGACGAAAAAAAACTCAATACTTTACAGCATCGGTCTTGTTGCAGGTGTGCACGCTTACAAGCATATGCCTGAAATTTAAAAACAACCAGCAGATGCATTTTGGCTATCAGTAGAAGAACAAAAGCTGAAAACACTTGCAGTCCATTATCATTATGCATGGGTTGCTTTCAATGGCGGTCAAAAGCAAGGTTTAGCTTCACAGAACACTGCATGAGGTTAAAGCTACAATATGGAACAAAATTGTTGTTTGTTCGTCGACTTTCCAAAAGCATGCTATCGTTTCTTCCCCCTTGACCATTGTGCTCGATGTCTCTCCCTGTAGAGGGCCAAATGATCTCTAAATGAACTTTACATTCATAGAAGATGTATAAATAAATAAATAAAAAGGTAATTCAAGGGTAAAAGGAGACCACAGAATGCCAGGGATGCTAGTTTCGACACAACCTATTGAAAGCGAAAGGTTTTTCACATCTCGAACGAAAATTGAAATCTAAATCCCCATTCACCATGAAATACAATTCTGATTGCTCCCCCCATAATTTCATAACATAAATATATATATATATAATATACACACACAAACACAAATCGATAAGATCATGAAACAAAATAATTTGAGCTTATAATATGCATCCACAAAAGACACCAATAGCATATTTATCACTTATGTAATTACAAATGGCCTAATTGTGAACAAGTGAAAGCCTACCATTACAGGGATGGACCGAGGGGGGGTCGCAACCCCTAGAAAACTTAAATTCCCTTTTATATTAGATATTTTTTGTATTTTATATGAATTATTCGATTTCGCACCCCTGAGATTTTATAATATTGCACACTTAAATTTTTAATATATTTTTTTATATTCGCACAGCTGGACACAAATTCCCGCGTCAATCCCTACCTACCAAGAGCATGCATGCCTATTAACCAAACATAGAATCAATGTACATGAAGAATTGAAACAATTTCCAAACTAACATATATAATTAAAAAAAATGAAATCACTTTTTTTCTAACAAATTAATCAAACACGGACTAGTATATCCAGCATTTGATTATTTTTCTTACCTTCAAAGATCAGGAAGCAGACATCAAAACGAGTTCATCTCCAAACAGTAAGTTTTTCTCTTAACAAGCATCTTAGCTGCAGTCCCATAAGGCTCTTCAAAAGCAGTTGACAACCAAGAAGCATCAGAAACCTCTTTCTTTGAAGCAGACTGTTCACTTGGCCTAATAGCAACCAAAGTAGCACCATTCAAAACAATCCCATCAGGCAATTCCAAGTGAGGAGCATACCAAAGCCTCATATTCAGTGCTGGCACCTGAGTCCTTTTCGAAGCAGAAGAAGCCGATAATGGCTTCACTCTCAACTCCTCAAGCTGATCTCTGTTCATGCAAAGCACCCCTTGTCCATCCGCATCAGTTAAAACCAAGCTATCCAGCGTCTTATGCTCTGCAATTATTGGTTGAAGCAAATAATGCCTCGCCGATGCAGCGATCAACGAGCTAATCGTCCATACAACCCGTAATTTCAGGCCTCCGTTCGTATAAAACGACTCGGGAATACTCCCATTATCATCAACGTTGGCGATGTTATTATTGGGGCAAAACCCATCGTTCCCACACCCCGGTACCTGACAAAGCACGTTCTTAGTAACGGAAGCAGCTCCAAGGATGACGCAGTTATCAAGGGTTGACCCGAAATCGGCTCTCCATCTCAAAAGAACCCCACCATCGATCCCTAACTCGCCGCTGGGTAATTCAATCCGAAGAAAACGAATCTCGTCGAAATTTCTAAGTACTTGCGTCGGAGAATGATGTGTCACACCACCTTGCTCCATTTCCCCATTGTTAACATCAGCACGGGGTCCAACAGGACCAACAGATAAGGAAGAAGGAGAAGACGGATGGGTGTTAAGGGTTTCACTGATAGTGGGCCGTTTCGGACCGAGAAAATGAGCCACAGCTTGAAACGGTTTGACAATGCCCTCTAAAAGGAACCGGAAGAGGCTAGAAATCAGACCGGCGGAGCATGACTTGTCGTAGGAAGCGGAAGAGGGGGAAGAATCGTCGTCGGAGATGACACAATCAACACGAACGACGACGTTTTCGATTTGTGGGACGAGGGAATGGAAACGGTGCGAAACGACGCAGCATCGGCCGAGAGCTTTAACGTCGCCGATCTTGTTGAAGACTAAGAGGAGAAGAGAGTCCGGGAGACGGTCGAAGTGATCGATCGGCTCGGGAAGGATCCAGTTAACCGGATCTGAACGGAGTGAAGACATGTTTCCACTTGAAATTATTTTGTCTTTGGAAGAGGAAAGTTATCGCTTGTGATTTACAGATATGTGGGAGAGAGAAAGCTGCCCCTTTGAAGGAGAGGATATTGATGGAAAACAAATGTGTCCAATTTATTATTATCCCTATACTATATGAAAACTATAGATTTAGTCCTTTTAATTAATTTTCTCAATATTGTTCGTTACACTTTTTTTCAAATTTTAAGACTTTAGTCCTGACATAAATAATACAGTGACAATATGATTAAATTACAGAGATTTAAATTGATCAAACTAAAGACTAAGAAATACAATTTTCTCATATTACAAGAATTAATAACATAATATGACTTAATAGATTTAATAGTCATTTGTTTGTGTCATGATTAGAATTTTAAAAATTCGAAAAGTACATGACTAAAAGTCATAAAATTAGAGTACATGGATATTGTCAAATTATATTAAACTAAAACAGAGAAATTAAATCCTCAATTTCAATGTAAAAAAGGACTAAACAGTAGTTAGACCAAAGATAGAAAAAAAAGTCATTTATGAATATGGTCAGCCACCATGAGGGGGGTGGATAGAAATATCATCCATTCCTTATCTTAAAATACACTCGAAAAGTACTCTTTTTCGTACATTTTTTCCAAATAAATACGTGTAGAATACAATATGATTGAGATTGACAATTATAAACTGAAGAAAATAGAAAGAAAAAATATCATTCGTTTATTTTTATTTATTCAACGATCTTTAATCAATGTAAAATTAAGAGTTTTTATATTATGTAAGTGAATTCTAATAACATATATATTAAATAGCACGAGACAGTGATAACTTTAGAAATATTTTTAAAGTAGATACACATAGTTAATAACATGGTTTTTTTAATTGAAGTATATACAAATAAAATTTAAGGTAGATACGTGTTATAGATTTACTATTTGTATGAAGTAATTATAATATAATATTTGTTTATAATATTTATAATATGTTATACTAACGTGTAAGATAAGAATATGACATGATAAAAAAAAATTAGGATAACAATATGATTGGTGAGGCTGTGGGTGATGATGGGTAAGTATTAGTATATTATAATTTAAGGTAGATGACAATATGAAATACCATATCAACATGGCATAATTAATATACCACTTAATACATATTATACACTTTAAAGAATTAAATGAAAGCTTTTATTATTTACGGGATTGATAATTAAAACACAGTTGGGTGTAAATTTATACAATAATATATTTATAGAGATTGCTTAACAAAATAGAACTTGAACTTAAAATATCATAAATATTTTTGATGAAATGTTTAATTATTGGATAATTATAAAATCCATTGATGAAGATAATGATATATATATATATATTATTGTAATTATTGGATAATTATAAAATCCATTGATGAAGTTATTGATAAATATATATACTTATGCATTTTTTATAGAATTTGATTAGTTGGATTTAGATTTGGGTTTACTAAACATTATTATTGTACAACCTGTTATTAGTATATTTCAATCCAGGGTCGGTTTTGGGTATTTTTTGGCCCGAGGCGAAATAAAAGAAACGGGTCCCTATTTATATTCTTTATTTTTTAGCCCGGGACAAAATAAATGAAATGAGCCCATAGTTATACAAAATCTTGTAGTTCTAATTTAATAGCCACTATAGAAAATATTATGGGTCATGGGCGGGCTTCAATCGACTGTGTATGGAATTTAGTGCCATTTTTTAAAATATTAAACATTAATATATGCAAATTGATGTTTTGTTAATATTAAACTTTTTTACCCCTTTAAAAAAAACGTATATTTGGTTATGGATCGGAAATAATAATGTGGTTGTTTTCATTATTTATAAAAATGATTTAAAAGAAATGGTGATATTATGAATGGACATCTTGATCAGAATTCAATGAACTTTGATTTGGATTTAATTTTATAAGATCTGATTTCTTTAAAAAAAATTGAGTTCATGTCGAGTATTTTAAAAATAAGATTTGATTAAATTTAGGTTTAGGATGAAGAAAATCTGATATGTAAATAATAGAATAATCAAGTACAAGTCTTTACTAATATTGTTGTATCTATGTATTTTTTTCAATTAAATTTCTAATTTACTAAATAAAAATATATATACATATTTGTGTCAAATCAAACCAATGACGGATTTTTATATTGAAAATTGAATCGAATTTTGATAAATAGAAAACTTTTTCTAAATCTCAATTCATAACCATTTTAGTGATATCTTATCATTAGCTTGAGACTTAAATATGATGTTAATATTCATATGCAATCGTGCATGTTTGCACATCAACACTAATTACTAATTAGAGATTGGAAGCTCAGCTTTTTCAACCTTTGAAGAAAACGAAATGCCCTGAATGTTCCGTACATGTACTATCCATCTACAAAGTTACCTCATTAAATTAAAATTAACATAATCAAGAATTTTAATTTATTAATTTAAATTGTATATCATAAAGATTTGTTTTGAGGAGGATCTCTTTAACTTAGCTTAATTCATTCATAACGCCAAGATTTAAATTCTAGATGTTGTTTAAAAAATCTAATATATTGTTTAACTAAATTAATCAATAACTGATGAATACGAGAATATTTAATAATACGTTCTATTTCTATAAATAAAAAAAATCAAGACTTGACTTAAATATGATGTTAATATTCATATGCAATCGTGCATGTTTGCACATCAACACTAATTACTAATTAGAGATTGGAAGCTCAGCTTTTTCAACCTTTGAAGAAAACGAAATGCCCTGAATGTTCCGTACATGTACTATCCATCTACAAAGTTACCTCATTAAATTAAAATTAACATAATCAAGAATTTTAATTTATTAATTTAAATTGTATATCATAAAGATTTGTTTTGAGGAGGATCTCTTTAACTTAGCTTAATTCATTCATAACGCCAAGATTTAAATTCTAGATGTTGTTTAAAAAATCTAATATATTGTTTAACTAAATTAATCAATAACTGATGAATACGAGAATATTTAATAATACGTTCTATTTCTATAAATAAAAAAAATCAAGACTTTACACCATATTTGGTCGATTTTAATAATACATTCTTATATTTAATATATTTCTTAATTAAACTTTAATCCTTAAATCTTTAATTAATTACCCCACACATTATGTATCTAAATTCATTTGAATATGTAAGCTCTAAGAAATAAATGTTAGTTATATTTTCTTTTTCATTTTTTTTAGAAAATGTTTATTTAGTTCGATTTTTCATATTTAAGTAAAAGCAATCACGTGATATTGGAATTGATTAATTATCAAGTCACATCTCATTTACCTGTTATGTAGGAGATAATGTGATTAAGAACATGTTTAAACTCAGTATTCAATTCACTAATTCCCTTTGGGCCTTCGTAATGGTGTAGATTAAATACTAATCAACCATATACCACATTAGAAACCAATTTATTTCATATTATACACAAAAATCTGTTGAGGGATCCTTTTATTTGTCAGTCGAAAATTTTAATAATAAAACTATATTAGGTTTTTTTAAGTATTTATATATCATTTTAATCTCTAAATTTCACCGTTCAACTTAAATGTCTTGGTTCGTGAGCTATTAAATTCCGATTCGAATCAAATGGACTCGACTCGAGTCCAATTTGAGTTCTTAACGAGCTAAAGTGAATTACCTGACTCGAAAAGATCGCAAATAGTTAAAAAAACTTAATATATTAACATTTTAATCTTTAAATTAAATTATTAGTAATATTAACATTGATATTTTGTTAATAAAAGACAATAGTTTCATGTATTTAAGGTTCAGGTTCAAATTATAGTTTGAGTTTCAATCGAGATAAATTTGAGAATGTTTCGAATTCAAGTTTTTTCGAACTCGAGTTAAGTTTCAATTTTTGATTTCGAGTTCGAATCGAACTTGGCAATTCTAAGCTCACAAACTTCTGAGTCAAGTCGAATTCAATACTGCTCGAACTCGAGTTGGTTGGTTTACATCCTTAATCCCTTATCCTAATATTGTCTTGATGGTATTATGGTTATACCAAAAAGTCCTTTAACTTAAGGTTTAGGACACAAGATCAAGCCCTCGTAACAACAATTCGACGTCAATTCGTTGTTAAATTAAGAACATAATCTAACTATGTGCTCTCTTTAGGACAGAGTCATCTGTTAGGTTGGAGAAGTTGTGGTTTTCATTTTTTTAAATAGTATTTTTAGTTTTTATTAAATTAAATATCAATTAAATAAAACTTTTTTTTATTTTAATTTTTTAAATTTAAATATTTTATCTTAGGGTTTGTTTCTTTCTTAGTAACTGATTTTCAAGAAAACATTTCCCCCATTTTCCATTATTTGGTTAGTAAAAAATAGATGATCAACGTAATTCATTTTCATGGTCAATATATTTTCCTTTGTACTTTTTGAAAAACGACTTACGAATTGATTTTTTGTAAGTTGTTTTTCGAAATTTTCTCTTCAGAGCATTAATACTCAAAACAATATTATTTTATAAATTTAATATTAATATATTATTTTTGTATCATTTTAATAAAAATATTTATAATATTAATATTTTATTTTGTTGCCCTCTCCAGGGCTTCGTTCTAACTAATCCGGACTGACTTGCATGCAAACCTGACTTTGGTGATTAAGTCTCCCAGTAGAGATTTTTTATATATAATAAATTATTAATAAAATTAATTTTATTTATTAATTTCAAAAAAATAATATTAAATTATTAAATATATGAAATATATTTATTAGTAATTTTTAGAATACAATACAATATAATATTTTCATTTTCATTTTATATTTTTTAATATTATAACAATATTCTTATTTTAATAAGTAATTAATATAATTAATAGTATAATATTCTTATTTTAATAAATAATTAATATAATTTATAAAATTTTATTTTAATAAAATATAATAATCTTAATATTTTTATTTATAAAATTTTAGAAATAATATTTTAATAATAATATTGACAAAAAATATTAAATAAAAATTTTCAATATTTTAAAAATAATAATATTAGTTATTTTCTAATAAAAAATATTATTTGGTATATTTGATATTTATAATAAATAATTTTTAAAAAGCTTATTAACTAATAAAAATTGATTTACATGCATTATCCAAACAACGCAAAATAATTTTTAAAATTTACTTTTTTGACAAATATAATTTATTTTACAAAATTTATTTTTCATGAACAAACAGAACCATAATTCTGTCTCTATTTTCGAGTGTAGCAAACAAGACCACGTAGCAAGCAAAAGCCACCGATTACGACGCAAGATGGACAGAGCATGTGGGGAATCACTGACACTTACCTACCTCACCTCCATGATGAAAGTGTTTAAAGTCCTCATCAATGGTGGAGGTGGCCAAGGCAATGCCATCACAATGTGAACACCATAGATGACTTACAATTTTCTTTTCATGCAACAAAAGAAATCAATGAATAAAATAAGCTAAACTAAGGACCATAACTAGAGATCAGTATAAACAAAGAACATAATTAAGGACAATATACCTCCTGTTGCAGACAAAACTAAACTAATGATTGTAATTAAAAGCATGGCACTGGCACTGGCACTGGCACAATGATGAGCAGAGAACAGCCAAGCTTTTCCAAACAAGTGTTTCCGCAAAACGACAATGGAAGTCCAGCAAAGGATGGGTTTAAATCAATAATGTATTGACCTAATAATGCATGCCTTACTCTTCAAGGTTCAGGTAGGGTTCATGCAACAATACTATATACAATATGCTGTCTTTTGTTCTATAAATAATTACATAACCACCGAGGATTCTTCAATCATTTGTCTCCCTCATGTCCCCTAAACAAACAAAGAGCAACAAACATGTATGCATAGATAAATGCATAGTTTTTTTAATAGGAGACTCACCTATTCTAATACAAAATTTCGTTTCACATATTTATGTTCGATTGTCGTTTGTATTTTAAGAGAAACTCCTTCACGAGTTACATATATGTAGTCACTCTTTCTTCTACTAAAATCTTCAGAATTATATTTACGTCGATCGAATTATCCGAACTTTCATATCCTCTAATCAATTAAAGTACCTTGATAAGACTCCTAACAGACCTACAAGATCTGTTAGGATCGAATCTATTATCACTTCGGGCATATTTACTTGTTCTTTAAACTTACAAATAGTTATCATAATTATAAATCTGACACTAATGCTAAAAATCAGAATATTGATAAATATGCCCGGAAAAACTATGATTCAAAACTGCAGGTGTATACTTTAATCCAAGCCCCTTGATCTTGGGCCGAACTAACCCACTCTAACCAGTTCAAAAGCCTCAGTCCACAAACCCAAAATCTTTGGCAGGTCGCTCTTCCCCTTTGTTATCTTCTTTCCCTCACCTCTCCGAAACAAAATCGTAGAAACAGAGAGACTCATTTTTTGTTATCTCAAATATTTTTCAATCCCTCTTTGGTAAGTTACTACGGCCTTTTCCTTTCGTCCATTCATTTACAGTTTTGTTTTTGTTTTAGTTAAACAAGTTATGTTTGTTTTGTATCTTTAAGACTTTATCTTTACCAAATTACCTTTTTTTTCTTTCGGTTTTCAGTTTCTGGGTTTGATTTGATTGAGTGATATATTAGTGTTCTTCCTCTCTTCCTTGCTAGTTTTATATGCTGCGCTTACATTTCTCTGTATTGATTTCTATGCTATTAGGGTTGATCTATTTTTTAATTACAAATTAAAAGCATCGTTTCCTGAGGGTTTAATTGAATCGGTTAATTGGGTTTCTGAATATTTTTGTAATTTTCATGCATTACTATCAATTTCTTTGTTTCCAAATTTGCTCAATTTCCTGCGTTGCCAAATGCATGTATTTTTGCTGCTGGGTGATGATCAAGTGTCATGGCAGAATTTCCCTTTTCTCTGTCTCTTGAATTGTATTTATGCTTTCTTAAAATCTTGAATCGGTATCTTATAGTGTATAAATGTTTCCATCCTGTTCTTTCCTATTTTTTTTTACCGATTTCACCTTTGTTCCATATACAGATCGATCATTCACCGATGGACACTTTTGTATGATGTTCAATTTGCTGTTCTATTAGTTTTTATATCACCTCCTCATTGGTGTTTGGTTGATCTTTGTGATGCTGATAGCATAGATTCATTGCCTATATTTGCAGTGAAAAAAATATTGATTCAAGTGCATTCCCATGGAACAAGAAGTAGGGGAATCATTGATTCAGTTGGGGAACTCGGATGGTTCCGAGTCTAGCAGCTCAGATCCTGTAACTCGTGTAAGGAAGCTACTGTTTCGCCGTATGCTGGTGGGGATCAAAGACGGCAGGTTTTTCTTGGGCACTTTCCACTGCCTTGACAAGCAAGGAAATATCATTCTCCAGGATACAGTAGAGTACCGTAGCACCCGCCGGTCCTCTCCGTCTCCAATGGAGCAACGATGCCTTGGTCTCACTCTCATCCCTGCGTCTTGTCGTGTCTCCTGTCACGTGGATTGCTCCATTGAGGAACAGTTGTCGCTGCTGGAGGTATAAGAAATGAGACTCTTTATGTTTCCATAAAATTTATGTTCGAAAGAAACAACAGTTTTTTCTGCAAGTAACCTATTGTTATTAGGAACGATTATATTGCAATTGCTTTGGTTTGAGTAATTGGAAGGGGTCATGATTGGTGCACTATAGGGTTCACATGACCTGCATTTACTTAATCCGTATGATATTTCTTCTTTGATAGGCAAACATTATATAAACGATGATCTCGAGTCAGGTTTCCAGAACTATATGCAACATAAGCTTACGAGTGGAAGCTGCTGTATTAACTCTGATGGCATGACCATTGGAATCGATCAACGGCCCACCTGAGTTGCCTGACTTAATTGCATCATCTATTTGAGTCACTCCTCAAATAGCCCTACCATTCGGGGAAGGGATCTCTCTGTGTAATCCGCTAACCATCTGCGCATAAATAAATTCAAGAAATTGTCTGCAATTCTTTGATAAGCAACAAGTTGCTTTGTAAACAAACCAACATTGCTAGTGTTGTCGAACCAGTTGTTTACCCGTTGTTATTCTCGTATCCGAAGGGATTGCTAATGGCGAAACAGCTCTGTCCGATGCGCAAGTCCCAAGAAGTGCCAATAACAACCGGTTTTAGTTCTTAGCCCTCAACATCAACCTGCAGATGGAAATTATTTAAGAGCATGTAGCGAGGACCCTTAGCATTGATCATTAAAAATACCTTTAAAACAACTATATCACAGGCCTTGTAGATTTTGTGCAACCTAATAAATGTAATACCCAATTCCTCTATTAGTAGTTGTACTACACATAAGTTATGCATTTAATCTTTATAATCTAATTTAATTATTTTTAGACGTTGTACCTTCAAAATTTAAAATTCAATTCTAAATCAAACAATACTCGTTAAATCTGCCAAGTTTAATTATGCTATTAGTTCATGCATTATCCATAAGTTATAAATTTAGTTAATGTTCTATAAATCGATTGAACTAAAATTTTAAAAGTGTAAGGACTAAATTAGAGTGAATACACTGAATACAAAACTTATGTAGAATACAGGGACTAGTAACAGAATTTACCCTAAACTGAATAAATACAAGCATGGAAGAAATAGACGACATGAAAGATGGTTGAAAGGGATAAGTCTTTGAGATCAAAGTTAAAAACTCCAAACTATTTACACTGCTGCATTTTCTAAGGAGAAGATGACAAAATGGGAAGATTCAAGGTGAAAGGCACAAACTAAAGAAGGAAACACAAAAAAATTGTAAGTATTACAACATATCTCCTTCCTATAGGGACCCTGTTCAAAAAAATTGGAGGTTTCTAGCATGCATTGGCTTGAAGCTTAATCTGCCTGTTGAACTTCTCAATGAACTCTTCGACTCTCCTGTTTAGTTCCTCGTTCGACATGGTTGAAAACTCGTTTGCTTCCGCCGGCGACTTTAGTACTTTAATTCTCGGTCCATGCTTTTCTGTCTTTGATCTTTGCAAACCATTGTTGTTGTTGTTGTTTTTGTTGTTCGCGTAATTGAATGTGACATGCTTCGCTTTACGGGACTTACTTCGTCGGATGGTTTCGGGTTTTTCCGGTTCATGGATTCGGACGACTTCCAATATTCTTTCCGGGGGTTCATCCATCTTCCTGTGATGATGATGATCAGCTAACATCTTTTCTTCCATGGGAATGCTCTTCTGATATTGTTGTGAAACAAATGAAGGATATTCTGCAGAGCTCCTCGCTTGGCAACGTAAAGCATGGTGATATTCCTCGTAAAGGTCGGGTTTGCGGTGTTTGGATGTCGAGAAAGCGCCGTAATCGGCGGCGATGATGAGGATGAGAGTGTTGGAGATGAGAAACCAGAACTTGGTGTTGCTTAAAAGAGTTGAAGAAGAAAGGTTGAAGATGTCATAGCAGATAGATATGTAAATCACAATGGAGAAAGCAATGGCGAAGAGAGAGAGATCTTTTGCCTTCTGATATTTTTTGTGCTTTTGGGGTTCCATTAGATTTGATGATGGCATGCTCATCTTTAGGGGGAAGAAAGAGTGACAAAGAGAAGAAGAAAGCTACGTGGCTAATGGGTGTGTGGGAGTATTGTTAATTTGAACACTTAAGGGCCTTTTATAGGGATCAAATTAGGAAATTATTGAACCACCATAACCACAAATAACTCCCCAAATTTTGATGTATATACTATATAGTGTATTATAATGTTGTACCAACCTTTTTTTTGTTTTAGATTATTTAAGTTATTACTTTTAATGCGTCTATCATTACCATCCACACACATATATTATATTTTCTTTAACAATAATTAGCATTCACACATATATTATACTTGACATGCAAAATAGGGAAAAAACACAACAAAAGTTATGGAAAAATATGAATGACGATTAGGGATGTATCAAAGGAGTTAGGTGGGATAATCGCTTCGTAAAAATTTCAAATCAATATATATTTTAGAAAATTTATTTGTATTTTCAGCTGATAACTTATTTTCGCTTCTAAAATTTTATAAGTTTGTTCTTATTAAATTCTTGAGTCTATTCCTGATGATAGTTGTTTGATGAAAGGTTAGTGATGCTATTCTCGACATACAAGAAGTCAAAAAAAATTAGTTATCTTAATAATAAGGCTAAATCGCTAAGGTTATGAAAATTTTGAGATTTCAATTTTTTTAAAGACCTAAATTTAAACTTATATACGCATGCAAATTATGCTATTCGAATCTAGATCATCAATAGAAAATAAAATTCCTTTAATTAGTGAGATTGCTCAAAAAAAATTTAGATTCCATATTGTTTCTTGATATATTCCATATTTAAATCTCACTTTATGTAATCAGATCTGAAATATCTAAAAATTTATTTAAATTTTTTGATTTATCTGAGGTAAGTACAAGGTAGTATCTGTTCAAAGAACACTCTCAATCATTTGTCATCGAACGCTCGTACCCCTGGTATTGTTGATGCTCGAACCTGAAACCTCAAGGAATAACAACAATACTTTTACCATAGAGATCATTGGGGTTTGTACAAAATTTATTTAAAATTAAATTAGGCCATACGTATCATGTCTAAATTTGTTTTAATTTAAATCAAACTATATTTAAAATATCAATTTAGATGACATATTAGATGCTTAATTATACTGATTTACTTATATTTTTTATGATTATAACTATAAATGCACTTGTAACTTATAATAAAAAAGTGGGATATTTTTGTTAAACCTAACATAAGAGAACAATCGATATATTAAGCCCAGACATTAAATATATGTATGAGCATTGACATTTAAAACTAAAATATAATAACATCTTAATAATGAATTCCAATCACTTCGAAATCGATTCAAACCTGTCTTTCTATATGTTAGAATAATATCAAAGATTTCGTGTGTTTAGGCCAATGTGTTTGACATTACAAGAACCATTAAAATCCAAGTCCACATGTACCCATAACACACCTCGTTGGCACCAAACCGTTTAGTCAATTAATTCTATCAATATTTGCATTAAAACGACGTTACCATCGAAGCTGGCTCCAATCAACCTGCTTCTTCTTTTTAATTATTATTGCTGCTTAGTCACATATCTACCTCTCAAGAAATTTCCCAAATTATTTTTATATTTTATAGTATACGTATATGAATGATCCACGTCATGTGTTGTAATTATTTAATCGATTAATGAATCAAATATTATATAAATATATTATAAATTCATCGTTCATGAGACACAAGAGGCCCAAATTTACCTCCATGATTAAGCCGACCCCCATGAATCCAAAGCTTGGAGTTTTGTTTGATTGCTTTAATCATTGAATCCTTTTTAACCAAAGAAAAATGGACGAGCTTTGTTCTCTATATGTACTATGATTTGATTAATTTTAGTATTTTACATTTTACAAATTTTAAGATTTCAATTATAACTCAAATTATATAAAAAATAATAATTAGATTACTAATGATCTGATTGGAAAACATTAACTAAACATATAATTTACGCATAGTATAAGGGTTATGTTAGAATTTGACTTAACAAATTTTGTGATTACTTGAGAAATTCAAAAAATAAAAATAATAAAATTAAAATACATGGACTATTTAACTAAATTTGTAAGTTGTGTATAGATTAGATTGTATAATATGTTTCATTTGGAATGAGTTGAATGATTATCACTATCATCCTTTAGTTTTCATGGATTTCAATAATGGGGATATTCGTACTTATAATAATGGAGGTATTCGTCGGTCTCCTGATTTATACTTTACTAATCATGCATATGGTCCATGCTTGCATTTCACCTTTGTTTTCTTTATATGATTAATTGGTCCTCTGTAAATTGTTATAATCATATATCGTTATAAATCAAGATTAGAGTCGCCCACTAACAATCAGTTGGTTTAGCGGGATGAAGTCTTAGATTGGTTAAGTAATGTCAACTGTTCATATTTTGACGGTGTAAACGGAGGAAATTGAGTTGAGAGGGTCACTCTCATAATGAACCTTTACAATATTCAATTTAGATTACTCGATCAATAGATAAAAAGCTAATGATTATATATATATATATATATATATATATATATAAATTAGAGGCGCCCATGGCATAAGATAATTTGTTAATTCTATGTCCTAATTGCATGATGGGGTCATTTTAGAAGATTAATTGAGGGTTTAATTATATTTACGAAATAGAGTTTGGCAGTAACACAAGGAAGACTCCACTAACAGCCAAACAAATGGCCAATTTTGTGTGCTTGCTTGCTTGTAACTTCATTAATTGTACACGGAAGAGATGGCTTCGTCTATTTAATCTTTAATTTTTAACGTGACTAGGCTCTCTTTTAAATTGGGCTTTAAGAATTCGATTTAAGTGATTAAATGGAATATTGATATCTTTTGAGATTTTATGTTCGAGCAATTATGTCTCCAACGTATATGCGCATTGTCAATGGCTAAGAAAAATATTATGAACATATATTATCCTTGTAATCACCTTAGATTATTAAAAAATTGTATTTTAAACTTTTGAATATTTTGATTTTATTTTTGAATTATGAAGACTCATTTTTTTTCAATGTTTTAATTTTATCTCCAAACTATCAATATATGTTGGTTACGTCTTATGTTAATAGAATCAATATAAAAATTGCTAATTGTCATGTAAATACTAACGTATATCATATATTAATATGATGAAACATAAACAATAATTAATATTGATTTAAAATAAAATGTGAATTTAACTTTAAAACATATAAAAAATTAAAAACAAATCGAAAGAGTAAAACCAAACAACATTGCATTTTTATTATAAATAATGTTTTTGGAGGACGTGATACAAAATTAATTATTGTTTATGCCAAATCATATTATTACATAATACACACCAATATTTATATGAAAAATAATATTTTTTTAATGATTTTATTAACATAGAACGTGATTAGCATATACCAAAAGTTTGGAGATGAAATTGATTTTTTAATAGTTTGAGGTGATTACAAGATAATACATGTTTAGAATTTTTCTTAACATATTAATAACACAAACACACATTATAGACACAAATGCTCAAACTCGAGTCATATAGGGAGAAAACCATTTCATTTTACCACTGATGACATTGAAATGTTTTAAAATGTATAGATCAATTTAGAATGAAAATTATAGTGAGATAAAATTATAATTTTCAAAAGTTTAGAGATAAATTTAAAATGAATATAATATTTAGAGACATGTGATGCATTTACTCTAAAAATATTAATTATTTTTCTCTCTTACAGAATTTTCTTTGAATAATATTAGATAATTAAAAGATATTATATATTTAAAAAATTTCTTAATATATTGACATCACAAACATATACTACACGTAAAACTATTCAAATCCAAATTATCTATAAAATAAGAGTTAATATTATTTTTATTAGGTAAAATAAGAGTTAATTGAAGAAAATATAGATAGATGAGTGTTATATTATAATATTTATCCCTAAATATATAAAGGTTAATTATATTATTATTCTTGAGTTGAGTTGAGTGTTTTTACTCTAATTCGAACATGACACAATTTTATCTTTTAAAATACAATCAGACCTTATAGAGTTAGATTCGTATCAAATGCTCATCGTGCTCTCTATTAGTGAGTTGTTGACAAATTATTTGGTTCGTCTAAAAAATAACTAGAATCGATGTTTATTCACAAGTTATTTGGTTTCGGTTATAAAGTATCTAATAATATTATTAAGAGATCATAAAACTAGGAAAAGATTAGTGTGGATAGACTCTAAAACTTACATAAACGAAGCAAAGATTTAAAAACAAAAAACTTTGATTCATCCTGCAATATTGTTGTAAAGAAACTTTGATTCTGTTTTGTTTTGTTCATTGCATGTTTAGATGTTGAATAATCTGTCCATGTATATGAAGTAAAAACAAAAGCAAGTAGGGTGGAGTGCTGCCAATCCCGCGGATACATAGATAGAGCGACAGTGAAGAGACTCTGAGAGAGACCCAACTGTGTTACCTCTGCAAAAGCCAATGCTATGTTGGGTCGTCTTCATGGTTCATACTGAGGAAAAGGCATGTCAAATCATGCTTCAAACTACAACCCTTTTCCCCTTTTTCTTTAAAAATATTGTTTTTTTTTTGTTTGTTTTCGTTTGGTTATATATATACATTTCCTGACAATTTGTTCCTCTTCTAGTCGCTGTCTGTCTCCTCTCAAATGCAATCAAACACCATCACCGTCTCTACTGACACACAATGGGAGGGGCTGAAGCAATGAACTGGTAGATTTTGCTTTACCTTCTGGTTGGTTTATTATGCTACACTCGACATTTCTGAATGCTTATATCTGTGTTGTTTTGAGTTTGAGCTTTGTTCTCGCATGGATTCTTTTCCCCTTCTCCTTGTTGGGTTCCTTGTTTTATCATGTGGGGTGATTGCAGAGAGTGATTTTGTGGTGGAAAAAAGTGAGCTTTTGGGACTTTTTGATGTCATAGATTCACTTGT